AGAGCAGGCCCGTTTATCCTGCCTTCAGCTGTAACCCACACAGCATGCAGCGATGATCTTGATCTTGCAATGTCTGACAGAGCTTAGCTCCTCTTTCTTGGCAAACAGCTTTTGAGCACGCCAGCCCACTCCCGCAGCCTGGCTCCTGCGCAGACACCCCACCTCAACAGCCCCCTCCTGCATTTTGGCCCCAACCCAGAGCATGGGGGGGACCCCCTAAATCTACTAACCCTGGGTCACCAGAAGAGTTAATCCAGCTCTGGGGTTAAGTTGTGAACCTCAGCGCCCCCTGCCCTTCCCCTCCTTCCCGGGGGGATCGCTCAAGGGGAGTGAGGAGAGTCTTTTACCACTTCTCAGTGGGGGGGTCACCTCTGTGACGTGGCCACTTGACTCAAGAAGGTTTCAAGTGCCGCCCCACCCTAGGCACTTGAAAACCTACATTCTTGGTTCAAAGCCACCACTGGAGGGCGAAAAGCAGCAGCAGGCAGACAGCTGTGTGAGGTTCCACAGTGCAGCAGGCATTTCTGGAAAACTGACGAGTCATGTGGGAGCAACACCCTAGTGTTCAGAAAAGAGGCACCGAACCAACAGGACCCCCTTTATGAGAGACATCGACTACCAATGGCATGATCAGCAGCTCATTTGCCTCAAATATTGGAAGGGCTTGAGTTGGTCTGCTGGGATTTCAATGTTATTTGTCCCATCTACTCTGCCTGTCCCAGCCATTCGAAACAACGGGCTGTCAGTCACATGCTCCAATGAAATCACTTGTAACAGGCAAACACGCCCACCAGTTAGAGGTCAAACGCAAGGCAGCACTGCCAGTGAATGTACTTCGGGGGTGTATGTTTAGCAAGGAGAAGTGAAATTACTGAACCAGCCTGGCAGATTTTTTACTCTCTCACTTAGGCCAAAATGTCTTAGTGTGTGAGAAGCTTGTCTGATCTCTGCCACAACTGTCAAAAATGCCAAGGACTGAGCCTAGGTGAATCTGAACAGCTGATGTAAACAATGTACTGTAATTTAGCCCAGGCCAACCTGACTGGAGGAGCTATAGATATCACACAAAGCAGCTTCCAAAGAAGCTGAAGAAACGGGACTGCTCAAAGACCTTTTCCACAAGCGCAGGCAGTTCCTCAGGGAAGGGCTGTTAAATAAGTGAGCTCCCCCTCCAGAGACGCCCCCTCCTGGTGAAAGAGCAGTCCTATCAGGGGTCACTGCTGTAGTCTGTACACACGATTTGATAGAGGAATGCCCAGCCATTTCAGCTATGACATTGCATGCGGAAACGACAAAAGGAACACTCAGCAAAAATATACTGGCATTGAGCATTCGCCATCCCCGTGCCTAGAACCTGACTAACAGCCCAACGATTCACCAACACCCCAGAGAAAGGAGACAGATCTAAATAAGTTAGCAGATGGAGGATATACTCAATTTTCTCTGCTGCTTTTTTTTTTTTTTAAAGACTTCAAATGTGACTCTAAATGGTAAGTTATGGGGTGTGAGCAGCTTACGTATTACAGAGCAACATGTGAACACAAGCCAAATGCGAGGCGTAGGAGAGGACTCACCCTAATACTTTTTAAGGTGCCATGTACTCACCCACAACCTAGTCCCTCAAAAACCAGGGCTGAAGTTACAGCAGCTTTAGAGTCAAGTGACAGCCGCCCAACCAAACACTGAACAGCCACAACCAAGCTTATTCGGTCTTTGGAAACTCAGTCAAGGGCCCTAAACACAGTGTTCTCAGACTGCTTTGAGGCAGATGAAATTCAGTTTCAGAAGAGTTGTTTATTTTTGGTGCTGCAATAAGAAATGGCAAGTTTCCCGATGTGTTTTTGAAAGCCTAATACCTCTACTAATCAGGCTAATCAAAGTAATCTTGTATCTAGACCAAGGGTGGCGAACCTAAGGCCAGATGCGGCCCCCGGCTTAACTGGATCTAGCTCCCAAGACTCGAGCCTCCCCCCTCCCCTCCTCCAGTACTGGGGAGCACATACTGGTGTTCCAGCCCCACCCAACCCCAAGGCTGGAGCACACAATCTACTAGCCTGGGCCTCAACAAGGGGAATGAGGGGTGTCGCTCTCTCCTTCTCAGTCGGGGGCCACGTCAGTATGCAGTTCCCAACTGATTTTTCTGTAGGTCAGTGGCCCACTGACCCAAAAAAGTTCCCCGCCCCAATGTAAATGATCCAAGCATGCCTCGAGAATGCCAAGTAATAACTTCATACGGCTGCAGTGAAATGGGTAAAAGTAGGGATGTAAAATCCTGTTTACTTGGTTAACCAGTTAAACACTGTTCAACCGGTTAAAAGAGGAGCAGCAGGGAGTCCCCTCCAGCCCAGCAGACCGGGATAGGGAGAGCAACCCCCCATCCCCTCTCCACTGCAACTGGGCTGCAGTACACCCCCCC